GGGTGTCAAGTCCAGCTTCCCGAAGTCCCACTATACGGCCCCTATCAAACTCACTAAGTTGACGAAATCGTACAGGTCTTCGTACTCTAGGCATCGTAACCGATCGTAAAGGATGTCAAGAACCAAAATCCGCCAACGTTGATTCTTTACTGCGGCTGAAATATTCATTTTTAGAGCGTTAGTGAATTAAAAAAAGCAGTATAAAAACCGGATAAGGCTGAAAATTTTTTCACTTGTTATTTACAGTAAGATAAATACATTCACCAACTTTTATTAAAATAAAACCATTTAGACTGGGTGTTCGGATTTATATGCAACTTAGTATATTTACAAAAATGTCGGAAACGTTCACCTACCGCTTTAACGCTTTCATATTTTAATAATCTAACATGTAATAAACCTGTTTTGATTTTTTCTTCTGAAATAAAGCGAGTTACAACGTGATACCAGAGACAAAAAATTTACTGCCTAAAGTGCATGTTTTTCAATACTATTCGAGAGGCTGCCCCGCTAGACGACAACGAAATTCATAATTATCTTCTAGTTAGTGCTAACTTACAGTCTTATTCCGACGAGCAGCACTGAACATATTTTCGCAAAATTCCTTCGTCTACTGCTATGGGAAGTGAACGTTGTCAAAAGCATGAATCATCTCATTCACGGAAAATCAAGGTTTTCCGTGGAATGTCAGATGAAACGAGGAAATAAGCACAATGAAAAAGGAGGAAAATTCGCGTCCAATCACGGCAGAAATCATTCCAAACAGAGGAAAAGCATTTATTTCTGGAAACGAACAGACGATCGCGATCGTCCGATATTCAACAAGACGGTGATAAATTTCATTCAAGCTCTTGACCCAGTTTCCTCCATTTTCCACCCCACGGGGTGTCAAAAGGTAGGCGCTGAATTTCAATAACAATTTGTAAGTCCTATAAGGTTCAACTGTGCGTGTTCGTATCCTAATTTGATTTCAAACTCCAGTACGCTGTTTAGAAGCAGCCATGTTTAAAGACAATACTGTTCCATTCCTGATTCCAGAGTGACCGTTGTCTGCACCACTCAAGGCGATTACGTCGGTGTTCTCGAGTTAAAGGGAGGACCCAGTGTGGCCGGTATGAAAACAAGCCAAAACTTCTCTTTCGTCGGTAAACACTTCGCATGCCAATAGGTCTTCTGTGTTCTGCAAACCATTCATTTGCAATGGACCTGGTAGTGGAGAAACGGTCCCTTAAGGCCAATGAACTTAGGCGGCGATCTTCACGGTCTGTTGTTCTACGGCTGCGTCCAGTGCCCCTTGCTCTTTGCGTACGGCCTTCTCGAAGCCATGCCTGACAACACCTAACCACAGTGTCTACACTTCTTTGCACTCTAACTGCAATTGCCCGAAAAGAAAGTCCAGCTTCCCGAAGTCCCACTATACGGCCCCTATCAAACTCACCAAGTTGACGAAATCGTACAGGTCTCCGTACTCTAGGCATCGTAACCGATCGTAAAGGATGTCAAGAACCAAAATCTGCCAACTTTGATTCTTTACCGCGGCTGAAATATTCATTTTTAGAGCGTTAGTGAATTAAAAAAAAGCAGTATAAAAACCGGAATGTCGAACTGATAAGGCTGAAAATTTTTTCACTTGTTATTTACAGTAAGATAAATACATTCACCAACTTTTATTAAAATAAAAACATTTAAACTGGGTGTTCGGATTTATATGTCACTTAGTATATGAACCAAGATCTCGTTTTCAAAAATAAATTTAAATCAACGACGTCTTTTGTCTTTCCGATTATATTAGACATCATACTCGTTAAGGTTATGTCCATTCGAAAATATTACTCTAATGCGCAGGCGTATCATATGAATTACTCGGAAATTTTGTTTGCTTGTGTTATACAGGTTGTAGAGAAAATCTTCAATATTTTTTCCATGCAAATTTTCCGCATAATTATGACTATAATTTTCGGAGTAATCCTCTTGTGTGTAAAACGGCTCTAAGAGGGTAAAATTAACCATTTATGTCGAAGAAATACCTCTAGCTACCAAAACTTCAAATATTATAAAATTTGTTGCCCAAGAATGGCTTTTTTCAACTAGCCACAGTTTTTTACGGAAACTTTTGAATAGTCCACACCACTTTATTTTTAGAGATACAGCAAAAATTGCCAAACAAGAACGATTCACATTAGCCTCGCATTTAACGACCAGGTATTTTTTTGTTAATATAGTGGAGGCTACAGAAATATCATTTTTTTAGATTCAAGATTGCAGTTACGCCGCAAGCGGTCATTTCAGAAACTTGAAAATATTTTCCAAGTTTTTCTGTTGGTCGCTTCAGTAATAAGTGTTGTTGCGCAAGCCTCTACGGAGGATAGATTCCCAGATACGGTACCTCGCATTGTTAGTTGGCCACCCTGTACGTTGTGCTACATCTCTGTATTTAACAATATTAGTAAAAGTACTAATAGGGCAGTTAACATTCCAAAGGCTTGACCTCCAAGTAAAGTATTTTGAAGAACTCACTTAATGATATGTGAATATTTCAGGATGTGATTCTATATGAAAAATTAATGTTAGTTGCTTCATAAACTATGGTCCAAAAATGGTTCCTTACAAAAACTCGGGGAGTTGAAGTTTTAGGAAAAAAATGGAAGTTAATTAATAAAAAATATCAGATATTTCACTGATATTTAGTACGTAGTGAAAGTTAATAAATTTGCATATTTTTCAATGCAAAAATAATGTTTAGCCTTAACAGTCGCGTGCGTTCGGGTATTGACATCGATATTTTTTAAGAAAAAATGGTACGTCAATGGTTTGTTGCAAAATAAAAATTATTTTTGAATTCCCCGTTCAATTTTAAACAAATGGTATCTCTTGAATTGTTTTCCTTAGATTTTTTGGACCATAGTTTATAAAGCAAACTAACATTATTTTTTCTCGCATATCATTAAGGAACACCGTGTATAATAATAATAACAACATACGTATAGAATGGGTAAATACATGCTTCAATCCATCGAGGGATAAAACCTGTACGTGGATCAGTCGTATGTTGAAATGTGTTCCAAATTTAAAGAAAAAAAGTTAAAAGAAGCTTAAAGAAAAACATATACCAAAAAGGTGTATATACAGGGTGGCGCATCGAAAACGAAACAGACGCATTTACTGGCAGCTCAGTTTTCTCTTTGGAAAAACGCTCAGACCCGTCGATTTTGTTTTCGAGGGGGACACAAGTTTGGCAAAAAATCACGTTAACACGTGCAGCCCCCTGGGCGGGGGTGACACCAACCCTAAAATCTTAAATGGAAAGGGGGGTCGAGTGATACCTTATTTTAAAGGTCTTTCAATTCCTTTTATAATGATGTAAAATACATGAGTTTCAGTTCAGTAGTTTTGAAGGTTTATTGATTTAAAGCTTAAAGTAGACTTTAATAGGTACATCAGATTAGTTTGTACTATTTTCAGAAGAAATTTGACTAAAAGAATTTACTTAACAAGTACATGCTTTTCTTCACTACGCCCATGGTTTGTTTATCATTTTGTTGTTGAAAATTGCTATTGGAGCGTTTTTTGTGGCAAAAAAGTTATTTCTTGAAGAAAGATAAGGAAATATCTCGTACTTATTTTAAATAGGAATTTAGTACATAGTTTGCAATTGATTTGACCAAACTGTTGCTAAAATAACTTGTAACGCTTTATTACATAAATTATATTAATTATATTCCACAGCAGAAAGAGTTGAAATTATCGAATTATTTTTTGGAAATAATCAGTGCGCTAATAGAACAGCAGAAATATTTAATGAGCGACATAAGAACAGTACCGTGCATTGAAAATATGTTCTAGAACTTGTAGCTAAACTTCGGGGAACTGGGTCAGTCGCCAATAAAAAACGCAACATTGAAAATCCCATAAGAAACGAAGCAATAGAAGTGGGAGTTTTAGGGCAAGTTTATGTAGATCCTACGTTAAGTACCCGCAAATTCGAGACTGTGTGTGGTGTTAGTCGACGTAATGTCCAACGGATTCTAAAGGCCCATAGTTTTCATCCGTAAAAAATTCACCTGGTACAAGATCGTAATGAAGACCACATTACGCATTACGTGTTCGACAATATTTAGATCAGACGTTTCCAGATCGATGGATTGGTAGAAGAGGTGCCATTGAATGGCCCCAAGATCTCCAGATTGATTTCGGATTTCTTTATGTGGGGTCATTTAAAAAGCAAAATCTATGCTACTCAGCCAACATCATTAGAAGACCTGAGACAAAGAATTGTGAATGAGTGCCTTCAAATAACTCCTCAAATATTGCAAAATGTACGGCAACCTTTTGAGGAATATCTTTATTATTGCATGGGGAGTCATGGTGGGCATTTTCAACATTTACTTGCCTAACGGGTCAGTTCATTCTTCATTTTTGAATTACTTTGCTGCCAAATGTATTGATCTCCACTAATGATGATGTATTAGTTTTATTTAAGCTTCAAAACTACTGAACTAAAGTACATTAGTTTAATATCATTATAAAGCGAATTGAAAGACTTTCAAAATAAGGTATCACTCGACCCCCCTTTCCATTTAAGATTTTGGGGGTGGTGTCACCCCCACTTAGGGGGCTGCACGTGCTAACGTGATTTTTTGCCAAACTTGTGTTCCCCTCGAAAACAAAATCGACGGGTCTGAGCCTTTTTAAAAAAAAACTGCGCTGCCAGTAAATGCGTCTGTTTCGTTTTCGATGCGTCACCCTGTATATAGTACGCATAAAATTTTCTGTCAATATGCCTGTGAGTAATTTAATTTTGTATGTAACAAGTCTTATTTTGAATGTCCACCTTAAATGTTGGTCTAAAAAAATTCCTAAACATTTGATACTGTCCACTCTGTTAGTTTTTAAATTTGTAATGTTTATTTTGCAGGAAATATTTCAATAATCGGGTAAATGTCTCGCGTATGACGAAATGCAGAGCAAGCAATGTACTATTATTTTCCTTCTGTCAACAGCTGGCCTTCCGTACTTGTCGCACGCTTCGAGACAGCCGCCTTCAATCAGCTCTTCGTCAACTCCAGCTGGATCCCCACAGCCCCGCAGTAAGCAGCCTGCGTAAGGAGATGCTGCGGTGCTTAGGTGCTACAGGGGACGCCTGTCCCTTCCAAGAGGCTGAGGCGCAGGTGGTGGGGCTGGTTTGTGATACGCTGCGGGAGTATAGGTGTCTGGAAGGTTGTGATCAGCTCAGGAGGTATGCGGGACAAGCTGCTAGGGTGGCGTGGGCGATGGTTTGTGCGGTACCGCCTTATGAACTTGATACAGGTAGGTAGTATATTATGAATTTAAAATAAATACAAAAACTATAGAACAAGCACATCCAAACAGAGTACAAATAAACAAGCACACCGCAACACCAACATAGGAGATCCGCAAAGTTATTACTTGAAAATTCTTCGAAGTTGTAAACGGCTTTCCGGATAAGGTACGCTTTAATTCTGTTCCTAAATGAGTGCCAGATATTCTGAGTGCCGCAGGAAGAACATTATAGAAGTGGATTCCATAGTAGTTAGAACCATTTCTAGTAGTATAGAAAGAGACTTGGACCTTTTGGGAGGACAATATGATATCCCGCGGTGATATTACAAAAGCTTTCCAGCCTCGGCATGACGTCCTCTGATATAAACTTCCATCCAATGTCTTAGGTCACTCCTGAGAAGATATCAATGCGAGCAACACTTGCCACCAGCAGTTTTAGCGTCTGTTACGCTTGGAACTCAAACTTGCTCACAAAGATATGATAAAGGGAGTTGACAAAACCGCAGTTGTTGTGCTCCGAAAGCGCGGCATAAATTTTCCTCCGGTCTGGCCGCGCCATATGGAAACGAAAGGCTTGTGTGCTTATCTGAGCTTTTCTAATAATGGAGGCGCGTACGGGTACGTGTACAAAGGAATGGCGCATTTTATTCAAGACAACTAGAGAGGAGCCTATTCATTTGGAAAGGACAACTTGAGCGCAAGAATCTGAAAATCAACGCAGATAAATATAACGTCATGCTATGGGGAAGAACTGAAAAACAAAATAACAAGAGTATTGAAGAGGTTCAAATACCTGGAAATCCACATAGATAGTAGGGGAAGCCATAAAATATAAATAACAAGAGGATTGAGAGCCTATCACGATTATATCCTCTCATTTGGGGATTATTTATGTTTTGATTAGGTACTTGTTTTGTTGTATTTCATGGCCTGCTTCTATTAATTGTCTTTTTCGTATACAGGTTGTTTCAGTTTATTGTTGCATAACTTTAAGATTCGATAGAACTTTTAAAATTAATGCATAAAGTCTATATAAACATGGGTCGAAAAACGCGTGGCTTCCGAAATACAGGTTGTTTAAATTTACTTTCTAAAATAGTTTTTTTTAAATATTTCGAACAATATTTGATGTATAACAGTGAAAATAAATATTGGAAAATTAAACAAATTAACATTCTGTTTTTTGTGTTTACTTGGAGTTAGCAATTATTGCTGTGTTTAAAAACACAATCTAAACGATCATCTTAATTACTTGTAATGCCCAAATCGAAAATGTAAAAAAATATTATTTTCCCATAAACAATTAAAAATGCATGAACCTTAAAAATCGAAATATCTCAAAAACGGCTAACTATAACGAAAACTCACGGGAGAGCTTTTTATGTTGAAAAGTGCGAGGAATCAGTTTTCTTATCCAAAAAGCAGAAAATTGCACTAAGAAAAAATTTTTGGTCATTTTAATACACTACAGGTACAGTAGAGAGCGCCATCTAGCGGCTACAGTAAAACTATGCCCATGGTTCGTTTTGTCGTACCAAAAAACCCTTGTATACCCATTTTCACTGTTATACATCAAATATTGTTCGAAATATTTAAAAAAAACTATTTTAGAAAGTAAATCTAAACACCCTGTATTTCGGAAGCCACGCATTTTTCGACCCATGTTTATATAGACTTTACGCATTAATTTTAGAAGTTCTATCGAATCTTAAAGTTATGCAACAATAAACTGAAACACCCTGTATACCCATTGTGAATATGCATTTAAACAAAGACTATGCTTTTTATTATTAATATTACTTACCTTCTAGCGATATTTTGAAATATTTTTAATAAGGATGATTTTATTCTGATGAATTATAAAGAAATTCCAGAAAACTTTGTTTGAAAAAATAAAAATTTAAGGAGTTTCCCTATAAAATTTTCTGTAACCTAAATATTAGGTTAGGAACAAGTTATCTAGATGCAGTTTTCGCGAGCTCGTTTAGCTACTTTTTTTACAAAAAAAAATAATAATGCATTTAATTTTTTGTTATATCTCATTTTCTACTTTTTAGTTCGATTTGCTATTAAACCGTATTTTTAAAGCTATAATTCATTTTCTGAATTTTTGGTCTCAAAGCGACAACAAAATTATACCTCAAGTTACTTTAACAAGGCCTTAGATTTTTGGTATATTTCTTCAAATTTCTAAACTATGATTTTTTCAAATGTTTTTTTTTAAATTTCGATTTTTTTCTACAACTTCGAAATCTTCAAATTATTTCCAATTTTACAGGTTTTCCAATTATTTTCCAAACTTTCAAATTCAAATTTCCTCCCACATCTCAAAATTCAAATTTCTCAAAAAAAAAGTTCAAAATCATTCTTTTCAGATTATTGTATTATCATCAAAACAAAAAAAATTGGAGCAATTATAAAAATCTAGTTAATTTCTTCCCAAGCTTTGTCACTGTAACAGATTTTTTTGTTTATGCCGTATGACTTTTTAGTTCGATTAAACCGTGTTTCTTGGTTCTTTTTTTAACTATAATTTAATTCCTGGATGTTTGGCCTCAAAGCGACATCAAAATTATACTTATAATCAAGGCCTTCGATTTTTGGTCTATTTTTCCAACTTTTTAAGCTTCTGTATTTTTTTTTAAATTTCCTGTTTTCGTCACACAACTTACAAATCTTCAAATTATTTTCCGAGTTTTCCAATTACTTTCCAAACCTTCAAATTCAAATTTCGTCCCACATCTCCAAATCCAGATTTCTCCAAAACATTCAAATTCGATTTTTTTAAAAGATTATTGTATTGTATTGTCAACAAAAAAAAAATTGGAGCAATTATAAAAATTTAGTTAGTTGCTTCCCACACTGTAACTCATTTTTTTGTTTATGTCTTATTTTGTACTTTTTAGTTCGATTTGCTATTAAACCGTGTTTTTTAGTTTTTTCAATAATAATTTATTTTCTGGATTTATGGTCTCAAAGCGACAACAAAATTATACTTGTAATCAAGGCCTTCGATTTTTGGTATATTTTTCCAACTTTTTTACTTCTGAATTTTTTTTTAAATTTCGAGTTTTCTTCCCACAACTTACAAATCTTCACATTATTATCCGGGTTTTCCAATTACTGTCCAAACTTTCAAATCTCAATTTCCTTCCAAATTTCGAAATTCAGATTTATCAAAAAAAAATACAAAATCGACTTTTTCCAAAGATGGAGCAATTATAAAAATCTATTTTATTACTTCCCACTCTTTGTCACTGCAACTGATTTTTTTGTTTGTCTTATTTTCTTTTCTGTTCGATTTGCCATTAAACCGTGTTTTTTTAGTTTTTTCAACTAGAATTTATTTTCTGGATTTTTGGTCTCAAAGCGACAACAAAATTATACTTGTAATCAAGGCCTTCGATTTTTGGTATATTTTCTCAAATTTACATTTTTTTTTCTTAAATTTCCAGTTCTCTTCCGACAACTTTCAAATTATTTTCCGGGTTTCCATTACTTTCCAAACTTTCAAATCCCAATTTCCTGCCAAATTTCAGATATCAAATTTTTCAAAAAATTTCAAAATCGATTTTTGTGTTATCATCGACCCTTGACCTCTCTTCAAATTTTCAAGTTGATCAAACTTTTTGAAATTAGTGAAAATTATACTGAAAGATTCCATTACCTACAAGTCAAGCTAATACATGCGCGTTAAAAAGGAAAAGGAAAAACCATTCCGTTTTCTTTTAACCCACTCAGTACTTCGTGAATCAGAAGGTATTTGTCGAAGGTCTCACAGCCTTGAAAGTTTAGTAACCTCCTTATTCTCGACACAACGTGTAGCTTTATTATAACTGAGCTAACAGCCGTGAAAAAAAACGTACCTCAAACGATGTCTCGTTACGCGACCTATTCGGAGAGAAAAAAATACAATCCCGTTCTGTTCATTACATTTTTCCATTTGCTCTCGGTCTGCTTAGGAACCGTACCGGGATAAAGATATTAAGGGTTGTACAGACGTTGTAACCTCTCTACTTTAACTCAGTATTCTTTCTTCCATTCAAGTAAGGGATCTTGAAGGTTCCCCCATATCATTTTAATCGTTTCTCGTCTTTCCGTAATTGTGGCATTAATATAATAATAATAATAATTAACGTCTTTCATTTGTAATATTCTTACAGAAGACGAGATTTAGATTATACTATTCTACCATCTAACCCCCTTAACAATACGAGATGTAAAAAATTAATTATTAATTAATAATTACACCATATTCTCGCCTGTCTTGAAGTGCTTCTTCTTCATCCGATGATGTATAAATTTTTTTAGGTCAAAGATGATACTACTCGTTTTTCTTTTTTAGCACAAATAACTTTCGATCAGTGAGTACGCGTTTCCTCTGAAACCAATTCTCTCCAATGCTTCTAATCACAAATTATTATTAGAAGCATTGGAGAGAATTGGTTTCAGAGGAAACGCGTACTCACTGATCGAAAGTTATTTGTCAAATCGCCCACAATCTGTGCAGATATCAGGAACATTTAGTAAAGAAATGTATATTAAGTGTGGTGATGATTTATTCCTTCAGGAGTACCGCAAGGGTCTATACTTGGGGTATACTGGTACTAGGACACTAGCTCAACCCGACGACAGAAATGGGTCGGGGGTCGGAGTCAGTGTGTCAGGTCGGTATGCAACCTTCAACCGACGGTTACGGTCACGCATGTAGAGGTAATCGCGTAGACGAGAATCGCTCAACAAGCACTAGAGACGTGGCTAGAGAAGTGCAAGTATCAAAAACTAAAGTGTGTTAAACGCTGCGTGAAGAGAGGCTGTATCTGTTTCACGTCCAACGTGTACAAGCTCTTCAACCTGACGATTTTCCAGCAAGAGTGCGGTTTTGTGAGTGGTTGTTGCATCAACATGACAATAATCCGGACTTTTTGAAGTGCATACTGGTGACAGACGAATCTACGTTCACGCATAATGGGGTGAATAACTTTCACAACACTCATGTTTGGTCA